TAGGCTACAAATAAGTATTTAGCTTTATTTAGATATATATCTAAGTTCTTTTTCTTAGTTTTAGATTTAAAACATAAAATCTTTCTAATTATATTAAATGTTTTTGTTAAAGCTAATAAAGGTCTTACCTTTAAAATTTAAAAAAAAATATAATTAGACCTCCTTATAATCATCAAGTTGGTCATACTCTAATGTGATGATTATACAGAAGTGTGACTATAGACTAAACCTCTATATAATCACAGTTTTATTAAAAATTATAATAAAAATTTTATTAAAAATAACTCTATAACTCTAATATTACTTTATTATAACAAAATAATTTAACTAATAAATTAGTTTATAAATAGTTTATTTTATTATTAACTATTATTTTATTGTTAAAATAATTTTAGTTATTGCAGGCTTAGAAACAAAATTAATAAAACATACTACCCTCTCTTTGGGTTAAAAATATAAAACATCATTGATCTGAAAATAAGTCACTCTATAATTAATAATAGTTATTACATAGTAAAGTCCAAATATTACTAAGCTAATTGACTAAAAATATTTAAATAAACTTGTTTAGAAAATCAAAATACAAATATTTTGAAATTTTTATCCAAATTGAAGCTTATTTTATTATTTGACTTTTAATTTCTATGTTTATCAAATATTTTTTTTAGAAAAATTTTAAATTTTTTATTGAATATAAAAATTAAAAGTCAAATAATAAAATGTTCACTAATTTGGATAAATATTTCAAAGCATGTGTATTTTGATCTTCCAAATATGTTTACTTAAACAACTTTAATCAATTAGTATAGTAAATTTTAGATTTTACTATGTAGAAACTATCTGTAATCAACTAAAAATTATCTTAATTCAAAAAGAGGTTAGTTTATAACTTTTATATTAAGCACTATTAGAACTTTGTAGCCAATCAAATTAGTTGTTTACAAATTTGTGATCATGAAGAGGTTAAATTATTAATAAAACCTCCAAATTTATTAAATTATTTAGTGATAGTGATTATAAATGATTTGTAACTATAAAGAGGTTTTTTTATTATGTTATGAGTCTGTCACACAATATTGTGTGCTTATATAGAGGTGTGACTATAGGGTGTGACTATAGAGAGATCTGACTGTAATAATTAAAAAAATCTATGTTTTAGCAAAAATTATTTCCCTTAATTTAGTTTATTTAAGAAAATTGCTAAATAGTAGTAATAATAAAGACATTTGTTCAAGCATCAATTGCAATTATATTTTAATTAATTATAATACTTGAGCAACAACATGATTATGAATTAATTCATTGTAGAAGATACATGAGCATATTTCAATTATATCAGTATCTATGCTATCAGTTCTCAAAAATAGTCTAATTAATAATAGTATAATAGTTGAGCAATATTTTAATAAATAGCAAATCGTATCAAGTTTGCTGCTTAAGAACATCCTTAGTCTAATCCTCATCTGACTAGGTTGTCAAAAATATAGGATTAAACTCTCTTTGCCTACATATTAAATTAATACAAATAATAAAATCAAACAGTAGATATAATAAGCACAAATAATTATATATTCTTGTATTCATATACATACTAAATTAAGTGATTAAAATGAAATTAAATTAATAAACTTAAATAACTCTTTAGATAATCAATATTCTTTTGTACTTACAAACTAAGTTAACGTGTGTATAAATGAATAGCTTATTTTGAATTAATAATCGATCCACATTAAATTACCATGGATAAACCAAAATTAAATAGCAAATATTTATGAGCTTGAATAATTTATTTTAAATATATTTATTTTACGATCCATTTTGATCTGTGTAGCTATTTTTTATACAAGTATATCTTTTGCAAAAAATCATTCAATTAATATCTGATTTATATCAGTTTCATTCTAATAGTGTACCAATTTGCACTATAAATAGACATCAATCGGGCTGCTAAATTTAAAAATCAATATATCTGATTTGTATCTGATTTTCTAGTTTTTGACTAGTGTAAGCATTATAACAAGTTTCATTTTTTTATACCTGTACGCAGATTCCAAATCAAGTAAAACAAAATAAGTCTATGCTAGTGCAACACATATAATACATTAATCGATAATATGGGTAGAACAAGTATCACAAATTTAAAAAGCATAAATAGTTTTTATAATTAAAAGAATGAATAGATAAGGAAATATATCATATCATATAATATTATAGAATAAGAAAACTGTGCAATGCAATTGCACAAAACCAGAAACAGATTTCTGAAAGATTAATTATAATAGCTTGTTACTAGATGTTAAATGTGTCATTTAATGACAGGTAAAATTAGACTATTTTATAATATAAAATCTATTGTTGTGATAGTGAAATATAGATTTCTTCAATATTATACATGATAGAGATTAAAGTAAACTAGCAGTGGTGAATAAAGATGACAGTCATATGAGTTTTAATCAACTATCAAGCATGGCATGAAATTAAAGCTAGAATGAAAGGCTATATTATAAAACTATTCTAATAGCTCTTTAGGGCTAGCTTTAATATTTGATTAGAATAATTTGTATTATATTAAAATTTATTACCATACTGCACTGCCTTTAGTACCCAGGTCTTATAAAAAAAAAGTGTGTTGTCGAGGTCGGAAAACTGCAACTCTGTCGCTCCACAATCCAAGAACTCATGTAACCTGCAGTAAGTAACCTTACAAAAGAGGTGTGTTAGATTTGGCTGATGGACAATTAAAGCTTCAGTTACTTTGTTTGACAGCAATGCTAGATCACATGAACAAGGTCTTAATGAACAAAAAATTATAACTTCAGGGTTTAATTGTGTTTTATCATATTAGTATGTTTATGTAGGGTTATGGGCAATAGATTTAATAAACTTAGGATTTCGTTATTAGTGAAGCAAACGAGGCAATGAGACCTTCTTTTTCTTGGGGCAATACCGCCTTTATTTAAATTATCAAATTTGTAGCTTACTAATGAATTTTCTTTAAGGATTATGCAATAAAACTAATAAGACTAATAAAACTATTTACAACTATTTACACTTATTTCTTTAACATTTTCAAGGATGTGTAATTTGATCTTACATCCTCTCCTTATTTCTTATCTGCCCGAAATACCATTGTCGATCACAAATGGCATTCTTTGCACTTCGTGCATTTGTGCATTTTTCACGTAATTGGTCACGTTTTCGGGTCTCACAGTATTATACATGGAAATATACCCATGGGTACTTAACCAAGTGTGGGTACAGAAGCTGGGGGTACTGTGAAATGGCTATATTATGCTTCAATAACTTTCAATTAAATCTATTAAATCATAGAAACCAAAAGCCTATGTCTTTTTCAGACTTCTCAAATTAGATTATCAATCTTTAAACATGGACATACCTGATTAAAAGTCAGATTTGTTGAATAATTTAAAGATTATTCTACTAAATGCCGAATATTTATTTAATAGTTTGAGTTGACACTATTTACCGAAATGGAATACATATTTATGAACCCGAACTAGGTAGAAATACCGATTTCCAAACCCAAACTAAGTAGAAACGCCGTAACTAAAAAAAAGAGTTTGGGTCCAACCTTAATGGGAGCCTAAATAGCCATCTTAATAATAAAAAAAGTAATTACGACATTTAGGCAGCCGAAATTAATTTACATAGTTATTTTTCAAAAAATAATTTACAGCTATTATCATAACTCCTGAAACACCTGATAAAAATTAACCGAATGATTTTTTGGCCGATTCGATTAAGTTAATCTCGGTATAATAGATTATATAAATTGATACGATATGTATGTACACGTATGAATTTAAGATCAGAAGATTAATATAAATATTATACCTATACGAATATCTCAAATCAAATACAGAAACATCTTCTCTGGCAAATAATTGAAAAATTTTTTTTGGAAAGCTTATCATTTCGAAAATTGCAAACACTTAGGTGTTAGTATGTCATTATAAGTCGAGTTTTCAAGCAGCTTCGAAGATATGAATATATTGGAAACTTCTACGACAAATATTAATAAAGTTAGGATTTTTTGAACGGAACTTTGAGTCATATCTTTAAACCAGCCGACAAAATTCTTGACCATATCTCATGTAATGTTTACCGTAGCTGTCTATTTTATATCTTGATCCTTTTTACATTTCTTGTCAATAATTAGCCTTTTACATAAGCATTTCAATAAGCGTTTCCATTAGCTTTTCCATAAGTTTTAGCACTAATTAAACACACCAACATTCAACTGAAATTTAATAAAATTGAACGTGTCGACATTTATACGTAATGATAAAATTATATGTGGATCAAGTATAATATGTGACATATGCTTCATATATATCTTTCATATATTAAAATAGGGTGAAAATTACAATAATTTTGTAAATTTGTATAGGTTTCTGAAGTCAAAATTACATATAATTTTTATTATGTGAATAGCATTGCTCAGAGCTTTCGTAGAGCCGGCACATAATGGTGGCAAACCTTTTATGCCATCGCAATATTTATAAGTTATGTACATACGTACAAATTTGTAATTTTATTGAATCTATTATGCAGAAATTACAAACTTAACTGGATCGGCATAAAAATCATTCGGCTAATTTTTATCATAATAGCTGCAAGCAACCATGTTCGTTTGCCCCTACATTATACCCGATACGCCTTACCTTGCCAAATCAATCCGCCTCTACGTATCGAGTATATTTGGTGATTTGCGGGTTGTTTGTGTTAGTCTTGTGGTGATTGGGTAGCCCGTGTTGCCGCCGCCAATAGTACACAGATTCGATATTTGATTGTGAAAAGTCTATATCTTATTTTGTTTAATGTAAAATTTTTTTATGTACGAATAATTGTGCTAAAACTTGTAGAACAACTAGTTTTGCTGTATCGAAAAAAAATTCTTTGAAAGGAAAGAATTATGGTATTGGTACGAGTATTATCAGTAAACATTAACAATAATTTCACTTTATAGCACACTCAATTCACATGATAAGTGGTGTAGTAACTTCGATGAAAGTGAATATGTTAACGAAAAATGATTTTTTCTATATGCGTTAAATAACAAAATCTTTATATTTGAAAACGATTCTTATGTTCTAGCATTCACCTGAAGCTTATTTGTCATTATTGTCATTAGTAATTAATACGATCAGGCACTCTAAGATGAAATTGTAATTTTCATTTTAAAAATTTCTCTTGTTCGATTCTATTACTTGTATTAAAAAAATCAGTCTATAAGTGTTCTTAAAAATTTAATTTTTATCGTGAACGAAAATCATATGATGAAGAAAAGACTAGCAGCGTCCTAATTTACTAAAAATAAAAATTAGTTACGGTATTTTTTATATTATTAAATTTAAGAAAATAATTATGTATACTTTAATTCTATTGATCAGTAATATTGAGCAATTTGATATAATCTATGCGACTACAAAAATCGCTTTCGATGAATTAGTCAAGTGAATTTAGCAAAATATTCGACCTTAAATTTTCAAAAAATGGAAAACGTCAAAAAATACATCACCTAAAACTATACATGAGATTTTTTTTCTTGTTTTTATTGACATATTTACTGTTTTTTATTTATTAAAGTTTTTATCCCACTGAACAATTATAAGTGCAATTGCTAGTGCAAGAGCAAGCGCATAAGAATAATATTTACACAATGCTTTCAAATCCGTTAAACGTTAAATTGACTTTTTAATGAATTGTAAATATTAGATAATCAACCATCAATGGCTATTTTGGCAAATTTACGTTACACGATTTTAAAAGTGTCATATGAGCGCGTTAATTAGATAAAAATCAAATAAATACAGAAATAAGCAATATGGGAATATGGCACTATAACAATTACAGTTTATGCATTCAATATTTGAATATTTGAGTGTGTGATTATAATAATTGACAATTGTCATAATATTGTAATGTTATAACAATGACAGCTATATCCATAACTCTTAAGTTATAATTTCCTTTCTATTTTCAAACACAATATTATCTTTTGTTCGCGTAGGAAAAGGTCCAAAATATCTTTTTTTAGGGTTAATTACCCCATTTTCAGTTCTAATGTTATATTTTAACATAACATTATGTAAAAAAAATTTCATAATATCAACGGCCAAAAATCTACCCGGACACGCATGTTTTCCACCTCCAAACGCCAAATAGTTACGTTCAAGTTTTGTCGCAGAAGAATTACGTTCCAGATGGCGGTATGCATAGAATTCTGTGGGATTTTGACCTTGAAGTCCTTCATTCTGATTTGTATCAGTAAAGTTTATGTACACTAAACGACCTATGATTTTAATTAATTAGAAAAGGTATGAAAATTATTATTGATTGAAAATTAAGAGAATAACAATCAAAATTACCATTTGGGACTTGATATCTATTTATAAACGTATAGTAAGATTTAGAGGTACATAAGTGCTCTACACCAACTACAAAACTAGCAGATACCCTTAAAGATTCTTTAATAAAACTATCCAATTTCATCATTTTATTCAAGTCATCAAACGTAAGATCATTCCCATTAGATTGTTTATTAATTTCCCGAGCCTCCTGACATAAATCATGCCAATAACGTTGATTCCTTTCTACCAAATCTAATATTTAAATGAAATATTATTAAAATAAAACCAAAGTATTTTATAATGAAAAACAGAATACCAATAATTAACTAACCATATAAAGCGCGGAAAGTACTATCAGACAGATTGTCGATTATAGCCAAAATAAGACCCATGATCGAATTAACAATATAATTATAATTTACGTTATCTGGATTGAAATCAGGGGTTATATCATCTAATAAGTATTGCAATACATCTAGCTTTTTTTTAAATTAAAAAAAAATGGGTAAATAATTTAAATATTCAAGTTATTATATATATATATGTATATTATATAACTTACTGGTGCAACCCAGGCATCACCTAATCTCTTTTTATCATAAAGACGCTTTTCGATGACCGGTTTAACACGACTAAGAATTAAATTTCTTTGTTTTGAAATCGGATTCCATCCAAGTCTAAATGGAATTCTGTTGAGCAATAAAGAAATAAACAAATTTAAGGTTGTTTATTGATATGTAAAATAACTGAATTCTAAACTTTGTCCAAAATAAAATTAACTTACGAAATAAATTGTTTATGAAGCCAAGGATGTATAAAAGATAATATTGGTGGCACGAAAAAAACTTTAGTCAATGAATGAATTATTGTTTTAATGGCCTCTAACATGTCCTCATTATTACAATAATCCTAATTTTTTTTAAAAGAGTAATAATTATAAGAGTAATTAAGTTAATAACGGAAAGGTTTTTTATGTAGATATAATATATATATAACATACATCATCAATAATGAGGTTAGCAACCGGAATTGCCAAAATATCCATTGTAGTTTTATATGGGGCACGAATAATCTTCGGTTCTAATAAATGAACCCTTTTAAAATCTTATGTGAAAAACTTATAATTTAAAACTTAAAATCTTACCAACGCATTCGCCAATATAAAGATCTATAGCTTTAATAATTTTTTTTTGTAATCTACTTCTAAAATGTTTTAATTTTCCTTGGAAACAATCTATTATTAATCTATTATTTTTATCTAAATCTTGACCAATAAATATGCGATCTAGCTGGAGGTTCTGTTTTTTAAAATTGAATGAATGATTTAAAATGTATGATAATATAAAATCCGAAAGATTATTGTGCTTCTTATCTTAAAGATGTTTCAATTACCTTTTCACTGGCTTTGAAAAAGCTAAATTCTTTATCTTTTTGGAGTATTTCATGAGTTGTTACATTTCCCGCTATGGTTATTACTCGACCAAATACATATAACGAAAATGTCTCTCCATACTAATATTAAAATACAATAATAAATATATTTTTTTTATTTCATAAATTTATTATTATATTTATTTTTTTTTTAAAAAAAAAAAATAGCAATGAAAAACCTTTTCTCGAGATTCTAAAATTAACTTCTCACAATCTGTTAAAAATCTCCAAGTATGCCCGATAATTGGAAATCGATAATAAGCAAGAGGTGGTTCATTCTAAGAAATATAACCTTTTCATTAATGACATAATTATGAATGAATATTACTGTGGAAAAATAAACTTACTAGCTTAACCTGCTTGAATATTTTGAAATAAATTGCTATTAAGATAAATCCTATAATAAATAATTGAATATAGGTATTTTCTAATAAGATTTTAATCATTTTTTTTTAGGTTTTTTTTTTTTTCTGAATTGTGCAAAACTTAGGTATTAATAAAAGTTCTGAACGATTACTGTGGAGCGTGCGTCATAGAACAACGCTAGAACATTTATGACAAAGAAATAACTTACAATTGCTCAAATTTTATTACCGTACATCTTTGTATATGCACAATGGTAGATACTGATATTTTGAGTGGTGCTCATTTCACCGACGACTTGTTTAATTCACCGACTTGTTTAGTTCACCGACAATTGATTCACAGACAATCATTACACCGACAAGCTTATTTCATCGAAAATACGCTCGACAGTACGTTTCACCGACAACTTTAATTGATTAACTCCGTTATTGCCATTTTTCTGGTGGTCATTTCTCATTTAAATGACATCATATATGGTTAGGTTATCATTTTTATATTTTTAAGCCTGGAGTGCTAAGAGTAAGATATCAAGGTATCCCAATATTGTACTGTTATGTTACCGATATCGATCTACCTCCTGATATCTTACAAATATGCTGCCAATATTCAGCAGGTATTTGGCGGATCTAACAGGCACATATCAGTAAACTTGTCTTCCGGTATGCACCCGATATTCATTGATTCAACCTGTGTATTATTAGTAATTACAACTGTTTTCATAAATTCTGGGACACCTAAAAATTTTCTTGTTTCCCGAAGCCTCTTCGATCTCATTCTAAGAATCACCTACCTTTTCGGAAACTACTTCACTGTACTTGGAACTTCGATATGGAGACAACGAAGTAGTTTCCGAAAAGTTAAATGATTCTAAGAACAAGATCGAAGAGGTTTCGGGAGACGAGAAAATTTTTAGTGTCCCAGAATTTATGAAAACAGCTGTAAGCTTGTCGTCGAAACGTATCGTCGGTGAATCGTACGGTTGGTGAAACGTATTGTCGGTGAAATAAGCTTGTTGGTATAGTGATTGTCTGTGAATCAATTGTCGGTGAACTAAACACGTCGGTGAATTAAACATGTCAGTGAACTAAATGTCGCTGAAATAATTGTCTGTGAAATGAACTTGTCGGTGAATCGATTGTCGGTGAAATGAGATGTCAGGGAAATGTTTTTCGGTGAAATGATACGTATCCGTTTCATCAACAACTCTAGTTACAACTAGCATAGCAGAAACTCATTTTAATGGTTAAAGTTTGAATAAATATGATTGGCGATGATCATTAGTTATTTATTATTATATATAGTTATTAGTTAGTTAGTGAAATGATTTGCAAACAGCTTGGTAAATTACTTTTCTGGCTGGTTCTATTGACAGTTATTTTTTGGTAATTTATTTTCTTTAACTTTTTTTGGTAATTTTGGGCTTCACAAATTTCAACCGATTGCAGTCTATACTACTAATACTCTATTCTCTTGCGCTTGCGGCTCTCTAAAATCTTCACTTATCGAATATCGGTTGTATATAAATGACGATTAAAAAGGAAGTCTAATTTTCCTAAAATGCACGAATAAAATAATGCATATCTATAATTGCAAGTAAATAACGATTAAAAAGGAAATCCATTATTATTAAAATGCATGAATAATACCGATTAAAAATATTGCATATTTTAATTACCAAATTACCTAACCTTATCAGGTAAAAAATTAATTATTATACGTAGTTTTGTTCAAAAAACTCAATAATCGAGATAAATGCTATTCGTTCACATGTATGTACTATTTTTTTTTTCATTTTATTGAGCATATTGAATAATGCTCTTTTTAGGCAAAACCAATTTAATTCTCTATTTTACATTACCCCCTCTACCTTCTGGAGGCAGTGTTGTCAATTTTTGTTGACCGTGCCAATAATGAAAGACCGGAATTGTCACTCGGACAATGTCCGAATGATATATCTCAGACTATAGTTGTTATACGAAACCTTGACTGACGAAACGCGAAACCTGGTTTTGTCTTTTGTCAATTAAAATCTTAAATGACGAAATGACGAAACTGACGAAAGGTGACGAAATTGATGAAAGGTGACAAAACTGACAAAACTAATAAAAGACGAATATACAAATAAATGTTGTTAAAAATCGTTAAAGATTTGTATATAAAAAAATAAATTAACAAAAACAGAAATTTATAAAAATTACAAAAAATATTATAGTATTATATGCGCTTGAATTGTTTAAAGGGAGTTAGAAATGAGTGTTTTCTATTGATTATACTAGTACACTACATATCAGTTCTAGTGAGAAATCGCTTGGTGCTAGTATTCATAATTTGAGTTATTTCATGGTTACTATGGCTTTTTGACAAGTTTATTCAACCGGTTTATAACAACCCTAGCGTTGTCCAGAAAAATAAATTGGCTTATCCCGACACCTTACTATGATCGTACTAACAGAATAACTCGAGCCATTCTGTTAGTTCAGTCACCGTAAGATACCGGATAATGCCGTTATTGAATGATACTCAGCTAATAACTTGGTTATCTGGTAATATGTCATTTATGGGTCCATTCGGGGCCCAGAAGCTGACTTATTAAACTTAACAGCCAAATAATGAAATTATTTTACAAATAATTTCTATTATTGGCTGCTTCGCATCCAATGACTCTATATCATTTTGGCTGGATGTATGGAATTCAGACACTGATCTCTGAATAAATTAATTCGTGATCCTCCAGGGAACCAGTGAAATAACATAGTAAATTTTGGAGATATGTTTACTATATAAATTTTGCC